AGTGCCCAACAAGTGGCGCTTCTGGTGCTAGCAGACACTCATTCCGGCACCAAAACATTCGGAAATTATCGCACATATCGATCTGAAGAACTCGAGAACTGTAGTAGTAGTAGTAGTCCGCGAAGCAGCGGCCTGCTGCGGCCTCTAGCGTGGCGGGGCGCTGTGGGGCGTGATGAGGTGGGGCTCGGCGGGGCGTGGTGAGGTGGGGCGCGGCGGGGCGCTGAAGGGCAGGGGGCCGGCGGCGCGGCGGCGGCCGGCAGTCGCGGCCGCGGAAAAAGCACCGTTCCGACCTGCCCTTTCGTTTCGTTTCCTCTTGCCGCTTCCCGCCACCGTGCTGCTGCTCCGCTCCCCGCCCCGTCCGAACACACACACGCACTGCAGCACATCTCTTGTTGTGTCTGCGGTCATGCTGACGCTGACGTTCTAAATGCGTGCGCTTTCCGCTGCCGGCGCTGCGTTGCTCGCGTTGCTCGCGGCGGGGAAACAAGTTTTACCGCTAGCCCCATCTCGCCATCGTCCTGAAATGAAGAATAAACATATTAGCATGATGTAGACGCACGCCAGCCTGATGAGTCTCTCGTATAGCGAGGATAGTTCAGAGAGTCAGTCGCGCGAGTCGCGCGCGAGCGTGGAACGCCGACCGACCCGAACGTGTCACGACGTCGACGAGCGGCTGTACGGGCACGTATTGAGAGGCATTGAACTGAAAATATGCGACTGGAAACCCCCATCACCTACTAAAAGCACAGTGTCTGTCTGTCTGTCTGTCTGTCTGTCTGTCTGTCTGTCTGTCTGTCTGTCTGTCTGTCTGTCTGTCTGTCTCCCCCCGCCTGTCTCTCTCCCTCTCTCTCTCTCTCTCTCACACACACACACACGCAGTCACTAACTCAGCTTCTCTCTGCTGCTATTGCCTCACTGTTGCGTCCGACCCCTCAGCGCTTTTGTGTTTTTCCTCTCCCTCTCTCGCCGCCCGCCCCTGCTGTGATTTATCCTCCCCGCCCTCCGCATTCCCCGCGCTTCCCCCCTCCCCCGCCGGATTGTTTAAATTTAACGAAGAGCGAGCGAGTCTTCTTTCTCTCTCCCTGCCGCGTCCCGCTGCTCGGCCGGCACCCCTGTTGCTTTTAAACTTTAAATACATTCTTGACGACACCCTTTGCACGCACATTATACTCTGTACTGTATGGACTGTGTGTGCCCCACCCTCTTGAGTTCAGCTCCGTAAGTTTTATCATGCAAAATTAGTAAGAATTGCCGAGCAGTGAAGTTTTCACGTGCATTTTTCTCTCCTCCTTTGGGTTACCAAGCGGCTGCAGGCGCCAGTGCATTGCGTGGCGTGGTGTGGCGGGGCGGGGTGGGGCCGGGCGTGGCGAGGTGTGGTGTGGTGTGGCGGGACGTGTAGCGTGCTCCGCGACGAAGCGCTGCACCGCCGGCCTGCAGCGCTGCTGCGGCTGTTGTGGACCTTGGGGCGCCGCTGCGCTCCGCTCCGCTCTGCAGCCGCAAATAAAATTTTGAACAAGCGTAAAAAAACGAGGCGGGGGGACGAGGGACGAGAATAGAAACCCGCGTACCCAGAAAGAGAGAGACGAAGGGTCGGGCAGCCTAGTGAGGGCCATAGGGCTAAGAGCAGCATTGCAGTGACACCCGCTGCTGCTTGCTGCTGCTTGCTGCTGCTTACACCCAAGGGCGGCTGGTGGAGGGGGTTTGGGGAGGCTGTGCCGACGTGCTGGTCATGGGCGGGCATAGAGTGAGCGGACCTGGACCCGCAGCACTTTTGATTTCTACGGCGGCCGTGTCGCCGTGTCCTCCCCAAAGTAGTAAGGTGGGCGCGGCTCGGCCAGGTGCCTATGTTTGGCTGACTGGCGTGGCCGGTGGACCAGTCACCGTGTGCGTGAGCGTGAGTGAGCGTGAGTAGTGAGCGTGTGTGTGTGTGTGTGTGTGTGTGAGCGTGTGGGCGCGCGGCGGCAGCGGGCAGCGTGGGGACGCGGTGCGCGCTCTGTGGGAAGTCTTGTCCTTGGCAAGGCCGGCGGCGGCTGCGTCCGCTCAAGACGGCGATCGGTCCGCCCATATCGTCGAAGCGTTGTCCAGCTACGACGGCGACGAGGGAAAAACGGAAACGGAAAGCCGTGCAGACAGACAGAGAGACGGTCGGGCTCGGGCCGGAGCGAGGTGGAGGTGAGGAGTGTCCACCACTCACTCACCGGGGCTCCTCGCCCACCTCACTTCTGAGCGGGCCACTGGGCCGGCGTGGCGCGGCCGCCCAGGTGGGAGGAGGACGAGCCATCTGGACCTCCGCTGAGATTGCCGCCCGTCGCCGCACGAGCCCGCGACACTGAATCACTTCCGGTACGTAACTATCGGAGCCGTACAATACAGAGATATCCGGAGATATCACTCTGATATCGACTTTGTGACTCCGCCTCGGTTCCCGGTTCCTCACGCGTCACGCCGCAAGCACCGCCTGCTCAGCTCACGCAGTCGGCAGCGCTCCTGCCAGGAGGCACCTGCAGCCGCGAGCCGTGACGTCCGCGGCGGCGGCGGCGTCCTGGGCGGAAAGGGCGTCGCCGCGTCCCCATGTCCGTCTTCCGGCGCGCACCACGCCCAGCCCAACCCCTTCTGTCTGCGCACGAGCTTCCGCGCGGCATACGCATCGCACAACGCCACCGTGCCAAGCCTGGGGAGAGCTTCCGCGAGAGCGTCTCCTTGGACTTGTTGTCCCGGGCGAGCGCCTGGTGTATAGGCAGTCCCGTTGAGCAGGCGTGCCCGGCGGGGCGGCCTACCATCTGCCCCTGGCTTCCCCTTGCCTAAGGAGCTTGGCGGGGCGCGGGCGCGCGCCTGCTCAGGACACGCCGGGTAGGGCAGCAGCGCGTGGTGCCGGTGCAGCGATGCAGCTTCGTCGCAGGTCAGGCTTGAGTGACCAAAGGGCGAGCCGAGGTAATGCTTCCGACGGCAAACTGCCGGGCCGCCGTGGAGGGCTCCGGAGGAGAGTCCTCCGATCCGAGAGTCCCCTCGGTATGCACGGGCCCTGTGTGCGCCGCGTCAGGGACCCGATCTCTCCCATCGCCAAGGTTGACTCCCTCTTGTTTCGAACAACAGCAACCGATTACTTTCTCGTCGGGCCCAGCCCGGGGTACGTACTCTGAAAACAAAAGGAGTTAGATTTTAACACCTCCTCTCGGAGGTGCTGCGTTACAAAGTTTTATGTCTTACGGAGACATTTAAAGCCTTGGTTATGGGCGCCAGACATGGAGTGCTGGCGCTCGCAGGACGACTAGGACGACAACGGACGGGGCCCGAAGAAGGCGGCGCGCGGCGCGGGCGCACAGAGAAAAGCGATTTCTTCTTTATCATAAACAAAAAAAATGTTGAATCATTGAAAATTTACTTCCTGAAGCCAACTAACATTAGAGCAAGAATTTTTAACAAAATGTGATCAGGCGAACACAAAATATCATCATGCCGATCATACCATACCATGTAACCAGGGCGATCAAAATTTCTGTGACGGAAGTAAAATTTTCTTGGCTTCCCTCAACACCGTTTTTATGTCCATTGGACCAAAGGGGTTTCCCGAGTGCGGCGCCGGCAAGGGGGCACCTGCTGGCACACAACTACTTACTAATGCTCCATCCCACACTGCAAACATTCGCACGGCATTCCGACACTTCAATTTGAGCGACTATAGTGACACACATTTACACGAAAGAATGTATGGCTGGCTTATCCATCATAATCACACACATTTATTTCCGGCTTCGGTTTTGGGAAACTAAAAATGGAAATACGCCTCGAGTATCCGCGTCGCACTTTATGGCGTTCACGTCCTGTATTCAGAGAGGACCCTCTGATTGAGGATTTGCACGCCGTGCAGCGCCGCCGTGCGCCACCCCGTGCCGCTGTGGGGCGGGGTATCGCCGCGCCGGGTCAGGTCGCGCCACGATACTGACCGCACCGTGAGGCCGCGAGGGCCTCGGCGCCGGGAGTAGCAGCGCGGCAACGATACACCCTGCGCCGGTGAGCGCGGGATACCGACGCGCTCGGGGAAGTCCCAGGTCACCGCTTGCTATGCTGCTCAGGTGGCAGCCCGCGCATCTCGTGATCTCGTCAGTCTTTGGGGACCTTTTCTTCATTCGTTTTGGCTCTACGTTTTTCCTCGCCTTATTTTATCAGCTCAGCTAAACCGTCTCCCACTTCCTTTGTGTCTAAAAGAGTCATTATATTCGAGGTCTGTCTGTCTGTCTGTCTGTCTGTCTGTCTATCTGTCTGTCTGTCTGTCTGTCTGTCTGTCTGTCTGTCTCTGCTGCCTGTCTGTTTCTCAGTGTCACGTTAGGCGCCATCTGATAAGCGGGGGTTACGGTCCCCCCAGGCCTGCATAAACATGAGGGAGGAGAGCCCGCTACCGGCCGCAAAGGGCCAAGGCGGGCCGGGCGAAGGGAGTGCCCGCACGCCAGGCCAGCGCCACGACTGCGCAGCAGCGGCCGTGGTGGTCTCTGCCGAAACGAGGCATCTCCATCTCAAGACGTTTCTTTTACACACTTTGTTCCTTCCCCTTTGTTTTGCCTGAATTCCATTGCGACCCCCCCCCCCCCCTCACGGGTACCCTCTGCCATCCCACGCATCGCGGTCTTTCTCCGCGACTTGCAACAGCAAACTCGCTTTGCACTTTACGACACCGGCCGCCGGCCTGCCATCACACTCATACAGCCCGCCCCCACCCGCCCCCGGACCGGAACCGGAACACGCTCCGTCGCGTGAGCGCCGCCGCTACCGTCCGCGAGCCGAGCGACTCTGACGTTGGGGCTGTTTGCGCGCAAACTTGTTGTACCACCAGCAAGGCCGAGGCATTTTGCGCGCTTGTTGCCAGTCCTGTTGAGGCATAATGATGTGCCTAGAGAAATTTATAAACAATTAAGCAATTTAACAGAGGCAGATTCCGCATCGATTGCGTGACAGAGATAAAGATTCTCGCCGATGCCTTATTCCGACACTGTCTGTTTTTTCAGGTGCTCGGTATCCTGTGCATGGCGCTCGCCTCCCCAGCGTACCTCGGAGCCACTCACTGGTTCCTCTTCGTGGTCGTGTCCGCCTTCATCGCCACCCTCATCTGGATCTTCGTGTACCTGCTCGGCATCAGGGAGGCCCTTAGGCTGCCTATCAACTGGATCTTGACGGTATGGTGTTTTGTCCTTTCTGTTTTATCCTGGAAGTGCTTCGAACATTCGGACCGAGGCAGATTCATAAGCACAAAACTATGTACTTGCAGGAGCTGATCAATACTGGAATCATGACACTCCTGTACTTCATTGCCTTCATCGTCCAACTGGCTGCCTGGTCACCACTGTACGCGTACTACAGAGGTTCCAACATTGCGGCAGGAGTACGTACCATACCGACGAAGCCCATCCGTCATTCGTTTACACGTGGAATAACACTTTACCGTTGCCCCTCTACAGGTGTTCGGCCTTTTCAACTTCATCGCGTACGCGGCGGGGACGTACTCGCTGTACTTGGAGTGGAAGGGCGCGCCGGTGACTGTGAACCAGTGAGGACCTGCTGCGTGTATTGGGCTGCCTCTCACCGCCAGCATAATACGACTGTTTTTGTTATCATTTTGTCATATTTTATTTCTTATCTTTTCTGATTTTGTAAAAAAGGCGAGAGCCTGGTGTGACGGGATAAATAGACGAGATCTATTCCCCGGTTGGCTCGTGCAAGTTGATATTGTTTCGTATGACATATCCACGCTTTGTAAAAGCATGCAAAACGTAGGTTGATTGTAGGGTTTCACCTTGAGTTGAGCTCTTGCCAAGCATGGTATGTTTACTGTATTCCTCACTGTGTACGATGTTTCGTAGCGATCCGACTGAGTGTTTTATGCCTAGAACAAACCAAATCCTGCTTGCGCCACAAAAAAGACGATTAATACATTTTGGCTAAAGTGTGATTTCAATTTTTATTTCGAAGACAGTGCACTGCAAAAATTTTATTATCACTGTAGTCACACACGTACTTAATATTTTTGTAGAACCATTCCAACCGCCTTATATGCGAACACGGAAATTCTTTTTAAGTACGGGATGTGTAAATGAAAATACGCCACACTAGTCGACTTCATAAAAGTTATTTTTATCAGAGATTTTGTTTTCTTCAGTATTGTTTCGACCGTTTAGGCAATTACGTCAAGCGAATTTATATATACATTCATAATAAACTTCAGTGTGGTAGTGTGTGAATGGATAGAAAGCATGCATGGGCATTGGGTGTGTGAGAGTGAGAATGTGAGAGAAACTTAAAAGTCAGTGTGTAATTGTTGTGTAAATGGCCCCCCTATTGTGTGAAAATAGCCTGTAAGTATTTAATTTAATTTTGTTATGAGTGAAATACCTATTTTATAATGAGCTTTTATAAGTTACGATTGGACTTCGCTCCCCGAGGTTCCTGGCCTTGGATACCAAGAAAAAATAACCAATTCCTGGGAGTGCAAAAATATTAACCTAGATACAGAGCCTACAAACTAGTATTACCGCAGAATTTGTGTCTCTTTACACCCTGGGTGTTCCAAAACTATTTGGGACTTCAGTTATTTTGTCGTGTAATTGAAAGATTATATTGTTCAATGCCATAGTAAGTGTTTTATTTGTCACAAACTCAACTGAATAAATGTTAATAATCAATTCATTTGACATGTGTTGGACCCTCTCCTCGCGACGATGCCATTTTCCTTTTCCGTGGTAGAGGTCTTCCACACAGAGACCTGTGAACAATGCCAAGAAAACCATAGAAAACTAAACAGTTGGGACCATTTTTACTTGCTGACTGATGAAGGGTAACATGAGTTCGCACTCTCCTCTACGCTCCTATTGCGTCACCTCCGTTGGGTCAATTATTACAATGACACAATTCTATGAACGTTCTGCAAACCACTACGGGAGGGAGGGAGACTATGACATTTTTTGACGTCCTCCGTAAAGCGGGCCGCCCCTCCTAACTCGCTCGAGGCGTTCCCCATACACAACCCCTCTACTCTACCTCGCGGGCATCCCTGGAAAAGGTTATCGTTCACAAGGCCGAGCTCTGAGGTCGACATCAAGAAGTAGTAGTGTAGCCTTGCAGAGGGGAACAGTAGAAAACCTAACCTCCTTTATCAGATGGCATTCCGCGAGCATTCCGTGGTTTGTGATCGGCACTCCGGAAATGAAAACCTCGCCCCCGCTCGGCCAGAGCTGGCCGCGACCCCCCGAGAGACCGGGCGTGGAAAAATCAGCGCTATCGGCACGCCAAGATCGAATTATGGATCATGAACGACAACTAGGGGGGCGTTCTCACCCTCCTTCAGAGGCGGGTATTACGAAGACTGAATTTTTCATCAAGTTGACGGACCGTGAGCCACAAGGTCCTCCGCAGGAACCGCCCCCTCCGACAGCGCTATAGCGCCCGTCCCGTGGGGTGGCTCGGCGTCCTGGCGCCGACCGGGCGGGCTGCCTACATTCCCGGCTGAGTCACTGCCGACTGAGGCGGCCGGGGGCGGCCGGGGCGGCTGTAAGAGTGGGGAGGGAGAGAGGGGTAAGGGTGTAAAAGAGAGGGCCCGCTCGTAACGGAGAGCCGAGCTCGAAGCGGGCCGCCAGGCGCGAGCGGTCGGTTTGCGATAACAACAACACAGTACGTTGTATACGCTCCGTGCCGCATGGCGGACAAAAAATATTATTAATCCGTTTTATCTGACTATTTAGAGGAGCCAGCCAGGCAAGTTCATTTCCTTTGCAAGAGGGGGGGGGGGGGCTCAGAGACGAGGAAATAGAAACACTCTCCGTCCCGTGACAGAATGCCGGTTGTGGACGGTGGAAGTACAGGGGCAGCCAGCGAACACAACAGCTGAGGGCAGAGGGCAGCCATTCTCCCCGGTCTCTAACCACCCGAAATATTTGTTACGCCGGCCGACCGACGGACATTCATCCTCGACCCCGCCCTGCGCTCCTGCGAAAGCCGCGAGCCGCGGCTGGTGGGTTGGGAGGAGGGGGAGGGAGAGGAAGGGGAGCCACGCGTTGTCAAAATCCTTAGAAACGGGTCACGATTCAAAATAGCATGCCCGGCGATACGTCAGGAGAGCGGGAGCGAAAAAGAAGCAAAGCGCAGCGTCTGGGGGGCGAGCAGGGCGCGGATGGGAAACAGAGGGAATAGGGGCCAAACTGAGGGCTTGAACCTCTTGAACCTCAGCTCGATCCAAGGTTCACCGAGCCTCACACTCCAGGCAGCAAAGCTTGCAAGGCTATGGTCCCGGGGTCTGACCACCGATGATTAACCCTTAACTCCATTACATCCCCCCTCCCCCCTCTCTCTCCCACCTTTCCTCATGTCCTTCTTGTCACAGGTTCCTTCTCTGCCACTCCGCTTTCTGCGATCCGTGAAGGCGAAGGCGGAGAGGGGAAGGAAGTTGGGGGAGTGGGGCTGACACGACGGGCGGCGGAGGCGGGGCGGGGCGGGGCGAGGTGGGTGGGGTGGGCGGCGGCGCGGCGGGCGCGGCGTGGTGCGCGGGGCGGGGCGGGTCAGCGAGCCCAGCTAGCAGACGACGCGAGCCTGCCCGCGCCGTACAGTAGACGGCTGGATTCAGTGGCGCTCGGAGGTTGTCCGGAGCGTTCGCGTGTGTGACTGTGTGTGTGTGTGTCTGTGAGGTAGTGACTCGGGAGGTGTGTTCCGTCCTCCACGACCATCACTTTTTAATCGCCAAAGTCCATTTGTTAACCGTAAGTTTACCCAACTTTCCCCGGTCACTTTTTGCTCCGTCTACGTTTTCTTCTGCTTCTCCCCCCTTCCCCTCATCCTCTTCTATTAACCCGCTCTATCTGCCAGCGAAGAGCCATTATGCCGTGAGTGTGATTACTAGTTTTAGGCATGCCCGATTAGCGGGCCACCATTAGACAAAGGCACAGTCGTCATGCACTTTTCGAAAATCACGCTATCTCTAGTTTTATGACTAATTGTAAGTATTCCCTCTTTCATGTAACCTAAACCACAATGATGTTCATGTCGGTTTCGGTCCAGCAGCAGTCCTTCTCCTTGTGCCACTCACGCTTTCAGAGCTAATCATTCCGCTTGCTCCAGACGATGAACACACACGCACACTCACACACTCCCGCGCCAGTCAGTTGGCCAGCCTGCTTCCGCCTGTTTCCGCCTTGTTTCCGGCCGCGAGGTCGCGACCTCCACAACTCTGCCGTCGCTGCGCTGCAGCAGCAGCCCAGCCGCTCCTCCTGCTAGTGTTTTGACGCCCCGCCCCGCCCCCATCAGCAGAGTGAGACACCACGATGCGGCGGCCGGCCGGTCTCCCTCCATGTGACGTATACCTGCTGCTCTGAGTCACAGTCAGCGAGCAGCTGAAGCTATCACACCATAGCTGCTATAACCCCCTCGCAAGCCCCCCGGGGCCCCCGACAGAGGGCGCGATCACAGCGTACACCACGACGGGCCATAAAGAAATAATGCAGATACAGCTGCAACAAAAAAATATATCAAGTCGTACCGCAAAAGGGGCTTTAAATAACGACGACGACGACTTCGAGCGCCCGAGCCAAAGCGCCACCAGAGCATCGTAACTGTTGCTCTGTGTTGTATGTGTGTGTGTGTTTTTGTGGACGGAGAGGGAGTGGAGGGGGGACAGGTAATTAGCATAAGGCTCAAGGGGTGGAGCGCGATAGCCACTGCCACCCCAGCGGAGGGCGACGAACCCGTTCACCTGCACACAGGGGTGGTGGTGGGCTCGTGGTGGTGGTGTGGTGGTGGTAGTGTGGTGGTGTTGGTGTGGTGGATGACGGTGGTAGTGGTGGACGGTGACGCGCGGTCGTTCATCCCCGCCTGACAGGTGTGTGTGTGTGCTCTGCTCGTAGCCCTGCCGAGCGACGGCGGCGGCGTCCCGCGAACACGACTCATGCATATTATTTCCGATTATTTTTCAACTATTTCAGTCTCCTTTGTGGGCTGGACTGTGACTGTGAGGACCGCGACGGTATTTTTTTTCCTCCGCGAGTGGCCTCGGGGCAGCGGTTGAGGGAGCGGAGGTGGTGGTGGTGGTGGTAGTGTGCATGTGATTTATGGGTGCAGTCTCTCAGGGCGGTACTAATGGCGCAGGTAATGCCCCCCACCCCCCAGCCTTATCAACCCCAACCTCCGCGGGGGTGGTGCCCTCCCCCCTCCTTCCCCCCACCTGAAGGCGCTCACCAGATCAGCTCCTTGAGCGCAGCCCGACACGGGTTCCCTTTTTCGTCTGCGGTATCGCGGCGGACTTGACGAGTCCATTTATTCCTTCCGAGAGTGGACTCGCGTTCCGACTAGCGCCCTCACACCCATCCGGCCATCAGAAGACGGCCGCGCCACCGCCGCCTCCGTGGGAGCTCAAGGACGCCGCGAGTCTGGCCGGCGCCTCCCGGACGGACGACCCTTGATCGCTTATTGGTAGCAAAAATCACAAATTATGGTAGCAAAAATCACAAATTAACGGTCGCAGACAGAAACAGTTGTTTTCCTCACAGTTTTGTTATCAAAAGATAGGTCGGGGGCTGTGAATGCGCGCCATCGTCATGCACGGGGTGTGGCTGGCCGCGCGACGCTCCCCGCCACGCCCCGCCACGCCCCGCCACGCCATGCCACGCCATGCCACGCCCCGCCACGCCACGCCTAGCCCAGCCTGTGCCTGTGATTCGCGTTGACCCGCTTTTCCGAGCGCGCGGCGCGGCGCGCGGGCGTTCCCTGCTAGCTTTGACCCAAACTGCAGCGCTGCAGCCTCTCCTCCGCGCTCTCCTCTCCCCAGTCCGAGCAACAGCTCCCGGCTCCCAGCCCGTCTTTTCAGCTCCCCTAGACTCGCTGACGGCCCCCTTGCTTCGGGACTCTGAACTCCATAAACGTGGGCTGAAGAGCAATGGGCTTGAATCTTGGTGAACAGAGTCGGTGGATGTGGGTGGACTTTTCTACGAGCTTCATACCAAGTTACTAATAACTTTCTCGATAATTTGAGTTCATGAACTTTGGTCGGAAACTTTTGACGAAACTTCAAAGAAGAGATGCCTAATTATTGACCTCAGTTTCTATTCCGACTTTCCGGGGCCTTGTTATTTTCTTCCTCCTGACGTGGGCTCTGGCCGTGTTGTCCTCACACAGCCGCCGAGTGCGTTCGAGAAGGTCGTGACGCTTGCGGCGGCGTGGCGCGGCGGAGCGTCGCGGTTCAACGAGTTATTTTACTCGGCGTGTCTCTCTCGGTGCGCTGCCGCGCGGCGCTCGCGCTTTGGAGCCGAGCCATGCGGGGGCCGTATACCCCCGCGGCGGGGCGGGGGCGGGAGCCTGCGAGCCGGATCATATTGTTCCAAACAATTGGGTTGGAAATCTTCCCACAATGATCGTTGGACCCTACCCTTTCTTTTGAAGCAAATTTAAAATAAAGTAAACTATTTTTCTTGAGTTAAGCGCTCTTTATTTGCACGCACTCAGTGTCTGTCCCTGTCTGCCTCTCTGCGTCTCCCCCTCTCTCTTTCTTTCTCCCCGTCTCCCTCTCCATCTCTCTCCCCGTACGTGCCTGCTGCTGGCCTGGCCATGCTCTGCTCAAGCCATTGGGTCCACTCCTGCTGGTGTGTGTGTGTGTGTGTGGTTGGTAATGTCCTCTGGGCGCCTGCATGGGTGATGTCAGCGGGCGAGGCGGGGGTAAGGAGGGGAGGGGAGGGGGGGGGGACGCCGAGCAGCCGGATCCCGTCCACCACCGCCGCCACCTAGTCCTTGTAAGGAGCGTCGCGCTGCTCCGGCCGCCAGGGCGGTGGGCCAGGGCCACTGGGGCAGCAGTGCCGTTCCTCAGGACGCCGAGAGGGCCGTGAACTTCCAATGCCAAGGGGTAATGAGCTCGGGCCCGCGGTGCATCCTGTCCGCGGCGGGGCCCTCCTGCGGCTGACATTTGGCACACGCGGGGAAGTCCCAAAGCCCCGGGGCCCCAGGCCCTCCCCCGTCGTCAAGCCGGCGTATACAAATGGACCGCGATTTAGCTTCCCTGCTGGGGGGGATTTCGGTGACGGGCCACTTACAAGCCCAATAATAGGTTCGGGTGCCAAAGCAGCACAGCATGCACTTTCCGGTTTTAATTCCTGTCCCCCTTTTCTTGAACTTTCATGATGTTTATGTAGTTGCAGTACAGTTATTAGTAAGCAGCTTTCTCTGTGTTTTTTTTTTTTGTGTGCGATGAGGATGTCACGATCGCATTTTTGTTAACACGTAAACTTGGTGGGGGATCTCGTAAATAAATTGGAATTCTGTCCATCCCCGCGCACGTCTCGTCCACCCCAGGCTGAGGCCTCCTCCTGTGGTCACCGCCTTTAGGGGTGCGCAGGGGGGTGGGACGCGGGGTGATTCATCGTCCTCCTCATCGCCGCGAGGCACGATACCCCCCCGAAGGGCGGGAGCCTCCCTTTCACGCCCCAGGGCCCGCCTCTCCTCTATCGACACCCTCGCGAGGCTCTCTCTCTCTCTCTCTCTCTGCCCTTGGCTCGCGGGCCCGCGGCTCGGGCTCCCTTAGGGGCGTGACGTACGAGCCCTACATTGATTGCGGTGATGGACTGACCTGACGGCCTGGCCGGCCAGGTCACACACTTGCAAGGGCGCCCCCCGCACACCATTCCTCCCCTTGACTGTTCGTGCCCTCACCCCATATTGCACGGTGGTATGCTCAGGGCGGCGGCGGCGGCGGCGGGAGATTCAAAGGCCTTTTGCCTTTGTGCGTGCACGGTGCAGATCAAAGCGGGGCAGTCGGCATGGGCCGGGGTAAGAAGTAGTGTGGTTTGCGGTGTGACGAAAAAAAAGGTGGACAGTTTCAACCAAGCACGCTTGCGCTCGAAGGTCGCATGTGCAAGTGCGCCGTGGGTTGTGTAGACGGGTCTTTAGCACCCCACCCCACCACCACTGACCACGGACACCACCCACACCCCTTTGCAGCCGGGTCGAGTTTACCCCGCTTCTAAAAGAGGTCCAAACAACCGGTGACGTCACCGCCGTCAGAGTGTGGCCCACATCCTCGGGGCGGCCAGGGCGCGCAGGATATTCGCGGACACGCTGAGCCGGAGGGAAAAGGGGGGCGGGTGGGGGTAGAGGGGGTTGCTGAGAGCCGCGCCGGCGAGCTGCGACTTCAGCGGGGGAGGCAGATGCAGGCTCGCTCGACGGTTGTTGCTCCACACACTTAATGTTCCTCGCGCCCTGCCTCTCTGCTTCTGCCCCCCCTTCCCTCACCCCTCCCTCCCCCCTCCCTCCCTACTCCTTGCCACACTGCCCTCCTCTGCCGGCAGCATTCCTCTTTTACCCGCTTGACAATACCGACTTCTAGCTGATGCTGAGAATCCGTGCGCCCCGTGATCTCTGAACTGGGTCGAACACTCGCAAAAAGAAAGGTGCGCTAAGTCATTGTTTATTCTCAGTCCCTACGACTGTCTCTACCGGAAGACAAAGCTCCCCCCACCCTCGCTCTCTTTCTTGCACACTTCTTGCTATATTGAACCACTAGTGCGCACTGTAAATCATACTAAAAACACAAAGAGCACAATATTTTCTAAAAATGTCTCATTTACCTTCAGCACTAAAGCACTAAATAAAAACTATCCGCTCCCTAAATGTCGTTTTCCGTGATTCCAGGGACGACATGTCGCACTCGGTGACCGTGACCCGGACCACCACGACGACCACAACGTCGGCCATCCTGCTCAACACGGGCTACTTCAAGACCTACCCGGGGCTGCTCAAGCTGTTCGAGCTGGTGGGTTTATCTCAGCGGCGCTGGGACCCCCTGCCAGCAGGCGGGCCCGCGGGGCGCCGGCGCGCGGCGGGACAGCCTACCTCCGCGGCGCTCCGGCCGGCGGCGGCGCATGCCCGATTGCCCGCCGGGGCTAATTGAATTGGTTCACGCTTCCATTACTTCCGAGAGCCACGCTTGCGGATGGCGCCGATTAGAGTTCCGCGTCCGAACAGTGCCGGCGGCGCCCCCGGCGGCGTGGGACTGGAGCCGCCCGGCGCCGCCCTCCTCGTCCCGCGGGGCGGACCAAGTTTTCTCACGCAGCCGTAGTGCTGCTCGTCTCGTCCCAACAGGGCGTGGCCCTGTTCAGGCCCCTATACCAGGGGCCCCGCGTCCAGGGCCGGGGGCGTGCAGGCGGTGGCGAACTGAGGGGAGGGGGGGGGGGGGGGGAGTCGTACACTGCAAATGCAAGACGAGGACGCTCCGCTCCGTGAGCTTCTCAGGGCGCGGTCCGAGGCGCCGGGCGGGGCGGCGCCGGAAGTCGGTGGGCGTCGGCGGGGCGTCGTCGTCGCTTCGCGGAGAGACTCCCCTCGTCCACGCCCGGAGCAGCAGGCAGGTCCCCGGCATTGGCATTGCGGCCAGTAAGCAGTGAGAGTGCGCCAGGTGGCCGAGCAGTACCCGCCCCCGCCCCCGCCAGTACCTCCCCTGTTGGCAAGCCGCACTCCTGTGTTTACCATTAAGTTCAAGATTCGGCCTGTGTCTTGCAAACTAATTTTCTCGGCGCTTTTCTACCTCTGCAGCTCATTGGCGCCGCTATCGTCGGCATCACTGCCCACTACGGCTCCAACTACTACCACAACTATGTGACGCAGTCGCCCGAGATCTTCCTCTGCATCGTGGCGACCACGTTCATGGTGGGGACGGCATGCCTCCTCCTGTCGTGCATCCTGTCGATATCAACGGCGTCCATCTTACCGAAGACCCTTTTTGTAAGTCGATTTGCTGCTGATTCCGGCCCAAAATACGACTCGCGTGTTCATTTACTTTCAACGTAATTTAATGTCCCCCTGTCCAAGGATCTTTTCCAGTGAAGGAGTGACTGCTCAACAATTGTTTTAAATGAGCGATGTGTTTACCCTCGTGGTTTTTCAGGAGGTCATCTTCCATAGCGTAGCCACCATCCTTTATCTGGCAGCCAGCATTAACTTCCTCGTGGAGGTTAACCAGATGAAAAAAAATTACGGCTACAAATACGAACCTTACCTTGCAGCTGCCGTGAGTATCGGAACCAGATTCGCCAGCACGACAGCCGTCTTACGCTTCACTGCACTGCTTTGGTGATGGGTTGGGTGCATGGCCGGGCGAAGAGCCCTGCAGTCGTCGATACTCCACGAGGATCCTGCCCCCCTCCGGTATACCCCCTGACGTCGCGCGGTGTATTGAAGCCGACTCTTGCTGCCAGGAGATGGTGTTCGGGCTGGTCTGCCTGGTTTTGATGCTGTCTGCGTCGCTCAACATGCTCCAGAAAATCAGAGGACGAAACGAAGGACACGAGATTGTCGAGAAAGGTTACAATGCCAAGGTGTTTGCCTCGGTGAGTCTCGGGAGCTATGGGCACAGAAAAGACGCAAGCGAAACTTTACTGCTTTCTGATAGGAAAATCATGCCTGAAAAAAGCAACTAATATAAATCCAGGATCAGTCCAAGCCAAATGCCACCATCTACGGGAGCATTCTTGTCTTTATAACGTCGCGTATTTTTTAAAAGGGGAAAATGACAAATGTAACAGTTTACTTCGTTTTTCGTCGTAGAATTTTAAAAGTTTAAATATTATTAAGGAAGAAAATTTGCCTGAATCGGCCTGGCAGCATTCAGAGACAACAAACGACCCCAGCTTATGTTTTTCGTAGTCTTTTTTTTGTTATAATAATGTAAATTGTAAAGCGTTGCGTTTAATGTTGGCGCATGGCTTTTGTTGATGTTTACTAATAATGTGTCTGTTACATTCGAGGTTACTTTCGAGTTGATCTCGTTTTAACTCTATTTTCTGTCCACCACAGATTCTTGGACTCATCAACACAGTGCTTTACCTTCTGAGCACCTTCCTCGCCTACCGCAGCTACAAAGGGAAGTAGGCTGCCTCAGGGGAGGGAACTGACAGAACCCGTGGGCTTTGCATTCTCTCATGCAGTATTGTGCATTGTACTTTAATTTTTCCTCATACATCAGGCGCTATTTTATGTTAGAATCGCCTATTCCAGAACAACAAAATAATTATCACGCTTATATATTTATAAATTATTGGAGCTGCCACATTATACGTGTCCGTAGATTTTTTTGGTTCTTTTTTAATTGGTTGAAAAAGTAGTGAAAGCCCGATCCAGAGAGAAATTTAAAATTGATTCTTCCCAGACAGAAATCCAATCCGATGTTTTTTTTTTGTTTTGTTCTTCGTTTTTGTCGATCGACCCAAGATCGACGTCGATTTAATAGGATTTTTGGCACAACACGTTGAGTGCGGTGGCGTGACGCACATCGTGGGTTCCGATAAGATTGCCTACCACACCGAGCTCAACATGTTAAATGGATGATGTTTGATTTCTCATTTCTGGTTGGGCTTCGTCGTATTTATATTTACATGGATCCGTTTTGGGGAACAATCCGGGTTCGAATATGACATTAACGGGTCTTTCTCTGTGCAACCTCTCACGTCTTCATTTAATTAATGTATTGTGTAGTGGACTCACCAACCATTGTCATCAAACAAATCACACCATTTAGAAAAATCATCCTCATGTACCATTAAGTCATTAACTAATCGATTCATTTTTATTATAAAAAAATTGTCAGATTGTTTAATTGAAAGAAAGAAATTGTTTCCAGTGTACATTATTATGCACAACTCTATTATACATCGCGGAACGAAATATACCTGAAAATCTTCCAATTAAAATTTAGAAGTATTATTCAACATCCTCTGTTGTTGGAAAATATGCGCACTTGATCAACATTCTTGATTGTGGCCACAGAGTTGCGGCCACAGTTTGAACGGCGGGAGTCCCGCCAAACACCACAAACACATTTTCAAACTCATCATTCCACCAGGTCTCCCTCGTGAAGTCCCTCGGTGTCGAGGGGTGCCCAACTGTGGTAATCAGGTGTACATAGACTGTACAACACTGGTAATCACTGGTAATCCGCACACTCGTGAGGGTCCATTCAAAGCACGGAGTAATTCAAAGGACAAATTTGTTGTTTGAGACGCCATTTTGTGCACATCTTGCCTAAATGCAAACCGAGGGGTAGGCGACTTGAATTTTTCGTGTACACAGGAGTACGGAGTACACGGAGTGCAGTCGGAGAACACTGAGTATTGCCAGTCGGAGCGCGCAGAGTACACCTGGAGTACACCCCACCCGGAGTACAGTCGGAGTACAATCGGAGAACACCGGGAGTACCATCAGGCTAAAAGATATCTCAGGAATGTCCCATTTTCTATCAGGAATTAGACAAATAACTGATGGTATTTTACCTTGTAGTAAATTTTCTGATGGGATTTACACCAGTGAGTCACAAACCAACCAGAAAGCCTAACGAACTCTTTACGCAAACAACAGTGTTGCACGTTCGGGTCGGCCTGCCGAAAAGGCGCTTTTTCGGACCGACCGGGGCACAGGGCCGCGCGCCCAGCTAATGGGCTGGCTCCAGGGAATGGAGACTAGCCAGGAATGTTCGGCTTTTAAATATAAACTGCCCTGCAAAGCCAGGACGCTGTGAGATGAATAATTTTCGAGAAATTGAAAATTTTAACAAAGTTACCTACAGACCTTCTTTGAGTCGTTCAAACGCAGGTTTCTCGGTGCGCTAGCTAATCGCCTATTGCAGGGTCTTTTTAGTTTTACTAGTGTTATCTTCAGGCAAAATCGGGGAGCTGTGGCTCCAATAGGTCCGGAGTTGGAGCCGTTTTTCGACAAATTGAAGATTTTAACAAATTTGCCTACGGACCTACTTTGAGTCGTTCAAACGCAGGTTTCTGGGTGCGCTGGCTAATCGCCCATTGCAGGGTCTATTCAGTTTTACTATGGGAATCTACAGGCGAAATCGTGGTGCTGTGGCTCCAATAGAACCAGAGTTAGAGCCGATTTATGTAAAAATTTGTGTCACGGAGCGGCGGAAAGGGGCCTATTCTAGCCCCCCGGGCCTGGGGCCGCGCACCAAGCCGGCAGTAGGGCATATTATGGTCGTGACTCTTATACTGGGGCTGAATCACGCCTCTTGTGTGGTCTGGTGGCTCAGAAAGTTGCGTGCTGGATCGCTGCTCTTGCGGCTCTTTGTGTGGTGGGTTCGACTCC